TCACAAGTATGTGCGAGAAGTACGAACGTGTAGCGCGTGAAACGCCGAGAAGAATGGCGTTTGTCTCGAGTTTCTATGTCAATTTTTCACGGAGATACGCTCGATCGAAGTTTCGGGCTTCCCGGAGAAATCTGGAAAAAATATCGCTCCGCGATATTGGCGGCGGCGCGCCCGATACATTGTAGTGAGTCCGAGCCGCGGACTTCTCCCGGCGGCGCGCAACATTGTAGTCGACCGTCAAACGATTCGCCGATTGTCGATATCTGCACGTAGGAACACGTCGTAGCGACACGGGACAAAGTGCGCTCGAAAGCTGGGACTGCCCCGCTTCTTCACGAGAGGGTGAGATCATTTCCCCGTATCGTCGGCTAAGTTTCCGATATTGAGCTGAATGTAAGTGCGTTTACGCGCTACCGTGTGTTTAAACGTTACCAAAGCGTGTGTGACCAAAGGGGTGCTCATTTTCTTATTAATCAGTGACTATCATCTCTGAGAATGTACGAAAGCGCGACTTCGACTTTTGTTCGAGCAAAGAGGAGAAAGGTGACGAGACGAATCAGAGCGCGCAGGATATTGTCTCCCGTTTACCCATCACGGTACAAGAGTGAATGGTAAATATCGTAAAGTGTTATTCCTCCAAATTATAAGCCGCGTGAGTACACATCCGATCGTTCAGCAGTAATGGCGTCCACTGTCGGATGACGGACTCTTGGCCAATGATTGACAGTAGATCGGCCGAGCGTCGGCTCTGTTGTTGCAACGTCTGGCTGTCCTATGTGGGGAGCGACGATTTTACGCTTCACGCGGAGCGCGTTTCTCGACTACAGGGAGAACCACGCCGCCCGGCTCGGCTCGGCGCGGCGCGTCGAAGGGTGCGTAGCTACGCAACTCCGCTATGCGTCCGCGCGCGCTCGGGGTTGCCGACATTATCCCGTCCTTTGTTGTTGTTATTTCGAAAGTCCATGCTGTCCACTCGATCTCTCCGATGTGGTTAGTGTGTAATAACGACGGGATGTGTGTTATGTGTGGCAATGGTTACGTTTTACACACGTATAGAGACAGACAAAGAAAGAGAGAAGGAGGGAGAGCCCTCGTCGACCGCGCGAGCCCTCGGCAGAATACCTGACGATAATTCGGACGTGTCGGGAGATAACAAAACGGGATATATATTCTGGTTGCAGAAGTCTTTATCGCAGCAGATCCGCGAGCGATAGATGCCCGGCGTGCTGTCGCAGAAACGGGGCGCTTCCGGCGGCAGCCAGTTGCTTCGGTTGAAGCACCTTTCACAACACCACAATCCTGCGTTTAGTCCGGAGAACTCGCGCATCGTCCACGATCGCGTATAAGTCGAAGAATTTCCGAAAACATTTCCGACGCGCGCTTTCCACGCGAGAAATTCTCTGGAGAAATCTACGCGATCGTCGATGGGGAAAATGAGATGAGGACACCGAGATAGCTTGAGGAGGTGACAATCGTTCTTTTGCGGATTTTGGGAATGCCGTAGGTTTGCGGAGGACTCATTGAGATACAAAAGAGAGATTCAGAAAGAGAGTTGGAAGAGAACAAGCATCGAAAAGAAGAACTTGAAATGTTTTCTACTCGTTCGCGTAGGACTTGAATCTCTCAATGCTTTGTAGTTTCTTATTCTTCGAGGTACTGTGAAAGCAGAAGGTGATACACAAACAATGTTTGAAACATTTCCTTCTGTTCATGTCGGACGTCAGGTTCACGTGAGCGGCGATGAAGACGACGTCGCGACGCGCCGATTTTCGCATTCATGCAGTCGCATATAAAATTGCTGCTCGTGCCGCTTTCACGCTGCCGTCCGATCAAGTAATCTCGGTCGCGCTATTTTCAATGCGATCTCCGGCCGAATTATCCGAATTATCCGTCTGGCGCATTAAGCATTTAGGGGCCGTCCGCACGTCTGCGACCTCAGATCGTCGCGCTGCTCGGGCGTCTCGGTCGATCCGCTACAATTTCGAGAGTGCGTCAATTTCAAAAACTCTACACCGGCGTTTAATGAACGAACAGCCCGTGAAATCCATATAATTATTTAATAACATGAATTATGTATGCATATAATACCATCGCCAACAGAATAATATGATAATTTCATTAGGAAAATTTCTTTGTTATTTCTTCTAGTTAGGACAATTAGGAAACTCCCGTGTTTCCAAGGCATATAACCTTTATAATAAACAAATCGATGTGACATTCATCCGAGTTACAAGATTCTTCGAATCTCTTCGCGGTTCGCTCCCTCCTACGATTTAGTCTTTGCATCTGAAGTGCGTATTATTCGCGACGCTTCGATCACAAAGTTCGCGTGAAACTGCTGACCGCGGCACGCTACGTATAAATTAAATTTTCTCGCCTCCGGCATTTCCTTATAAGACACGACGAAGATCTATAATCGCAGGAAATAAATATATAATTAAGATTACGTATCGTGTCTGGCGAGCGTCCTTCGGCATGAACCGGCACACCGCGGCATCCCATCCACGATCAAGAAAATGTCGATCTTCCCAAGGTCGAAGGTCGAGTCCGCGGTGCGCGGTCCGCACGCGCTGCGCTATCTAATCAACTTTTGACCTTTCAAACGCTACGAGCGCCGAGTGCCGAGCTTTTCCGAAGTTGTCGCCAATTTAGACGCGCTCATGCGTCATTCGCCAGACTTCACGGGAACGAGATCAAAGAAAGAAAGTCTATTCTCTCGGAATGACGGAGCGGCGGGAATTCGCAAAGCTGTGCGACCAGGTGTGCGCTCTGTCACAATCTTGAATGAACACAATGAACCGAACTGTGGCGATCGACTGGTGGGGAAGGAGCGTGTCGCTTGGAAGACCGAGATTATCAGAGATACGAGCACACACGAGACGATCGAAAGCGGCAAACGTTCGACTCACGACTCCAATTTGAATGCTGATGCGCTTTCAGAGCCGAGAGCGCGAGAAACCCTCGTGCGTCTCCAGCGCGACCTGTCGCAGTATAGCGATACATGAATTCGTCTCCGACGTCATCTCCCGTGTCCTCCATGTGTCTCGTGGCTGACGTTTCTCAAAAACGATAGCCTCCGGCCACGACACAATGTGTCTCTCCGCTATCTACAGCCGGAGTTTGCGAATTGAAACTTGTGTGTGGCTACCCCCACGCCCGCTTGTTCGTTCGTTCGTTCGTTCGTTCGTTCGTATGTTCGTTCGTTCGTACGTTCGTTCGTACGTTCGTTCGTTCGTTCGTTCGTTCGTTCGTTCGTTCGCTCGCTCGCTCGCTCGCTCGCACGCTCGCGCGCGCGAGGAACTTCCTCGATACGGTTCAAGATCGATAACCGCGGGGCCGAAGGGGCAAAGGGGCGCGCGAGAGTGGGCGGAAGGGTGATGAGGGAGGAAGGCACCTTCGAATTTCGCTGCCCCGCTGCCCCCTGCTGCCGAGTTCACCCCTGCGGATCGATCGCGCGAGCGGAATTTCCGTGGCCCAGCGGCCGAACTTGAAATCTCTCTCTCTCGTCGCGGCGCGTCGCATTCGGTTAGCAGCGTTACCAACGCGACGCACGACCGACAACAATAATTCGTTTCCGCCGAAACGGTCGCTAATCATGGCTCGGCATAGGCGAGAGCGCGGCTTGGAAAACCGGATAAACGTTCGCCCGTAGAGAGCACGACGACTACAACGTCGTCGTCGTCGTCGTCGTCGTCGACGACGATGATGACGACGGGGGGCATCGATCGCGACGTCGAAGCGAAACCGCCGCTGAAGGCTGCTCGTTCGATATGAAGTCCGCGCGGCGCTCACTCGCGGGGATAGTGACCCGACGAGCATCGGGCCGTGTTGCACGAGGTGCATGTGCGAATAAACGTTACGTAAAGGAAACTCCGAGTTAACGAAGCCGCTGGCGGTGCCGGCGCGTCGGACGTGTGTCCGAGCTATTAGCACGTGGATCTCGATCGATCGATCGCACACGATGAAAAGCTCGAGACTTAGCGAGAAACGAAGCCGACAAGTCCACGTAGCAACGAGGAATGCGAAGGAAAGTCGAAGATTATTCCAATTCTGATTCTAATCCTGCGAAGACCCGCGGCACGCGCGCGAACACGTAAGCAGTAAGACGCAAAGCAGTAAGACTTAAACGACGAATAAATCGACCAGGCGGCACAGATCGCTGCCCGCTGATGGATCCAAGAATAATCGACTGCGCTCGGCGAGTTTGCTCGGTGCTCTCGCGTCTTTTGCCGCTCACGTTTTCGCCTGTGCCTCATCATAATGTTGCAGCGAGGCGACGCCGGAGACTCCAGCCTAAACGGACTCGTTGTTCGCACACACGAGTCGTGTGTCAACGTAGATTACAGCGCGGCTGTGCAAGGCTCGCGCGATAAGCCGACAGATAAGTCGATCGCATGTGCGAGCCTGGATCTCGTTCCGTCGCGAGCGCGAGCGTGAGCGCGAACTTAGAAAATCCGCGCTAATGCCGGTGTCATTGACCGGTCGCGCTAACAAGCCGTCGGACCAGACGTTACGAGACCGCAGGAGAGTCCGATTCATTATGAAACGTCGATGCGACATGCCCGCGTTCGAGCTGCTGCCGCCGCGCCGCTCGAGACGAATGCGATTTACGAATCGCACTTGGAATCGACCGCGTCGCCGGCGATCGCATCAATGATTCCGCGGGTGTCGGCTAATCCGACACACACACATACAGAGCTCGATCGATATAGCTCTGATGTCGCGCTGAAAATCAACAAATCGAATGAAGAAACTGAACGCTGACGGGGTTGGGATAGGCCGGGGGTGGGCGGTTGAGTGGCTGGATCGATTGAAAGTACACGATTTGATCGGCGATCGGAAGCGACGAGCTTCCGATCGAGTCCTCGGCTCGACCGGCGACAAATTCGCCGGCGATCGAGACAGATGAATCGTTCAAGAGGGGAGCTCTCGAGTGTATATAAACCGCGAGTGTATACTCGTCAATGTGAGAAAGAAATCCACACGTGCAGATACGTTACCTGCGAGCATGCGTGACGACTTCGTTTTCCAGGCTCGTACTGGCGAAACAATAGCCATCGGTCTCGCATGTGTAATTGGTGTCCGCGCAAATGTCGCAGTAACACTTCAGCAGTCCTGAAAACAAAACGGGGGTCTCGTTGATTAATTTGGATCGTTTACGCTTTTGCGCCGCGGACCGCCCGATGCAGATGGATCGGATGCTGCTTATCCGTTTCTGCCTCGCGTGAAGGCTCTCTCTCTCTCTCTTTTTCTCTCTCTCTCTCTCTCTCTCTCGCTCGCTCACTCACTCTCCCCCTCTCTCCTCCCTCTCGCGAGAAGAGACCGGGCGCGAGATGGATTATTTGACGATATCGAATTCCGAGGAGGTGAAATAAATTTCGCGCAAGAGCGCTTGCGTGCTCCGCTATGGAATGGAAGAAATATGGGTAGGAAGATATTATCGTGAAACGCTATACGGCACTTACCACAATTGAGAGGCAGTTTATTTTACGATAATATAACATCGTCGTAGAGGTCTCGCAAATATTGACATGCAATTTTCGAGATACACCGAATGCTCGTCGATCTAAATTACTCGTGAATGTTTACGCTATCGAGCAAGTTTTGTATTTGCAGGCTATTCAATAATTCAAGAACACGTGCATCGAGAGAGAGAGAGAGAGAGAGAGAGAGGGGGGGGGAGAGAGAGAGAGGGGGAGAGAGAGAGAGAGAGGGGGAGAGAGAGAGAGAGAGAGAGAGAGAGAGAGAGAGAGAGAGAGAGAGAGAGAGAGAGAGAGAGAGAGAGAGAGAGTACCAAGAGAAGCAACACAAACACAGTTCCACAAACACGAAACCTTGTCTTGCCGTTATACAGTCAATTTGCCGGCCTTACGATTGCCAATTAACGTCCGGAAGGAGATGATACGGAGAAAAATTGAAGGATCGAAAAATTTACATAATCGAGAGCTCCGCCGGCCTAACGATAACAAAAGAACCGAGGCACGGAGGCACCACCTCCGGAAATCCGGTAAAAGTCTGGCATCGGCATTACGTGACTGACGTGACAGGCCCGTCCCTCTTTATGTGCTTCTTGTTCGCCGAGATGAAGAGGAGAAAATGGACGGCTCGTAAAAAATTATATGGACTCGGGAAGACCTTGGAGCTTGAGTGACTACGCTCAGGTATCGCTACTTCGGCCGAAGCCAACGCGAAGCCGCGATAAGCGCGTCGAAACTTTCGCGGTGCGTCTTAACGTAACTGTTATTCCTTCTGCAAGTTGAACGAGAAACTCTCGACGAGAATCGACCCGGCACTCGACGGCGTTCGGATGCAACAGGAATGATACTTCACCGTCGCAATGTAAGAGATACGAGTGCTCGCGATACACCGATATTCACTTGCACGTTCGCTTCCTACGTGCACGAGAGGCATTGTACGTCGCGAGACGTACTTGTGAAATAAACGCGATACATGAGGACTGAGAAAGTCGAGTAATCTTACATTTTGTAATGGTGTCACGCATTACATGCGTCGATTTACATGAATTGACAAATCGTTCACGTGTCTTCATCATCGGCTCGTGCGATTAAATCGTACACGCCTTGAGCATGCCTGAATTTCTCCATAATTCGGTCGCAACGTAACCACGGCGAAAAACGCCTTCATGACGGACAAACCGCTCTACGATCGATCGTTTCATTCGGTGCATCTGGACCTCGCGATCTAATGATCGTCTAATGATCGCGAGGTTTATCTCCGGATCCGATTTCCGATTCAGCTATTTCAACGGCAACGCGGCGCTCGGACGAGCAGTGATCTCAAATCCTACTTTCGTCGGGCGCACGAACATGACGAAATAACGACCGACGACCGGCGAGTTTCTGTCGCGAATCTCACGTCAAATACGATCGCTGAGTACTTGGTCCGTTGCGCGATTTGCTCCGTTATCCGCTCGATATTGACGCGATGTAGATCAGTGATAATTATCGAATGATTGCACTAAATGTGCCGTATGTAAAAAATGTGCGATCCGAAGCGTGTTCGGTCAAAGAGCAAGCACCACTGACGTGCGATATCGAATGGCGGTGGAGAGATGGGGGAAAAGGAGGGAGGGAGGGAGGGAGGGAGGGAGGGAGGGAGGGAGGGAGAGAGAGAGAAAGAGAGAGGGGGGAAAAAGATGTAAGTGACTTTCGCATAAGCAACTGGTATTAGATTACTTTTTTTTGCGGCCAGTATAATTCGCCGATTAATGCAACTGAATCGCCTCGAGTGCACTCGAGCAATGTAATAAGATTTATCGCGAAACGCGCGGCCGCGCAGGATATATTCCGCGCATAGATACACGTCGAAGAGCAAATAAATTGTTCGCATCGCGCGGTATAAATTATTCAAAGGCGCGTGACGTCGTGTAAAAAAGTGGCTTGCAGCTGACACGCGTCACTTGTTCCTTGCGCGCTGTGACCTTTTCAGCTTCAATAATTAAAAAAACGGTATAATTGGACTCGGCTTCATGGAAAGAAAGCGACCGATGGGGTGCAGGAAGCATCGGAAGCCCCGCGGCCAGGCGTGTTTTTGACAGCCGCAGATTCTTCGACGAGCTCGGAGCCGATGTATCGTTGAAATTTCCATTGAAAATCAATCGCACGGCTATTTTCCGACCCTCAATGCTGAGCTATCCCGACCTCGAATGCTCGAGTGCTCTCGCCCTTTCGTCCATTTCCACGCGAAACTGCTCTGCTTGAAGATATGCCATATTCTGATACACACGCTCTATATAGGGCGGCCGTCGACGGTTTCTTTTTAACGAGGAATCCAATTCAATTAAGCCTCAAATTGAATGCTCGTTGAGAAAGAATCGCGCGTAAATTGCATCAGAAGTGAGATGTCGCTTTGCTGTTCTTCTTTTCTTTCCGGAGCACAGCGTGTGTTTTTATTATGACGTCTCTCTCGCAAAGAGAGTCAGGGACAGGCAGATATTTTTTTCGCAAGCTGATATCGATCGAAATCGCGTTACTTCACTGCTCTCCGTATCTCGCGGGAGAAAATATTATGATTCCGACGTTATATTGGGCAGTAAAGCGACGGACGCGTTAAAAATTATCTACGTATCGCGGTCTTGGTTTATACAAATGCCGCGTGGGCTCGTAGATTACAACCGAAAACTTTCGACAGACACATATGCGACTGCCCGCTCCGCGCAACGAGCACGACGACGCTTTGAGTAACGGTAACTTATCGTGCATTTTGCGCCGATACGATATCGCTATAAATAGTAGGTGGTAGATTGGTTCTCAACCTCTCGACTACAACAATACGCCGGCACCCCGACGGAAGCCCGATAGGGAAACCATTAGGGTAATCTAAATCGCGAAGAAAACGTAGTTTTCTATGATTTTTCTCCGGTAAACGAGAGAATTAATTAATTATCTCATCTCACTCCCCTCGCCACCTCGTCTTATCATTGCCCCTCGTGGTGCAAACTTGCCGACAGTTGGCGATAATGGAACATCGAACGTTAATTTATCAATCAGATACGGAGATTGCGAGACGCGATCGACGCTTTGCGCATAGTGTTTATCACACGCGCAGATGAAAAATTCCACGTCACCCATGCTTTTCCGTCGTCCCGTCGATAGCCACCCCTGCGACAACGTTAATACGTCTTCTGCGAGCGACGTTACTTGATATGCGTTTACGTGCGCGTCTATGTATATATGGAATCTCATTAACATTGCCGTGACGATAGCGCGCTGCTCTTTTCGCCAGCCTACCTACGAGCGTTTTATCGGGCGAACCTGCAAACACTAATGGCCCGTAAGAATCCGCGGAATAACAATGTACCGGCCGCGGCGCGACGAAGGGGCGAAGGAGGAATAGGAGGAGGAGGGAGAGGAAGGAGAAGAAGAAGAAGAAGAAGAAGAAGAAGAAGAAGAAGAAGAAGAAGAAGAAGAAGCGGTCGTTCACGGCGTTTCGTCTATCGGACGCAAGAACGTCGGGGCGTGTGCTGCTTTTTCAATGAGGACTCGAGAGCCTGATTTGCATGCACGACAATTACCAAGCATCGAATTCATCAGAGCAGAGCCGTCGGTTTCGACGCAAGAAGCGTGCATATAACGAAGATATATTAGAGAGAACGAATAAAGAACGCTCTGCCTGGGAGGGCGCGCGAACGCTCCGTACGCGAGAAAGGAGGGAAGATAGGGGGGTCTTATTCTCGTAATTTAAAAGCCTCGAGCATACATGTATTAAAACGGTCGAGCGTGAAAATCAAACGACTACCGGAAGATCCTCGACGGAAGAGAGAGAGAAAAGGAGAGAAAGACAGACTGACAGAGAGAGAGAGAGAGAGAGAGAGAGAGAGAGAGAGAGAGAGAGAGAGAGACAGAGGGGTGTGCCGAAAGCGCAACCCCCGTGTTACCAAAGGCTATTTTAGATGCGAGAATTTCTCTGGCTGCGCGTATTCAAAGGGTCTACGAACTCGCGGAGCGAATCTAAGAATTCAGCGCAAATCTAAAAATCGGAAGAGCTATACCAGCGATCGCTCACCCACGAGGCGCAGAGTAACAGTTATCTGAACAATAAATAGCATAGACTGGTTACCCGCTTACTATCTCTCGCGTTGGAATGAAACACGAGGCGGTTGTTTAACGGAGCGAGCGTGGAGATTACACGGGGATAACCATCGCGCGCGCTTCGGAGCTATCGTCTATTTTTGAATTGCATAGATATCTGATTGCGCGAGCGAACGCACAAAAATCTCTAATCCTCGGGCAAACAGCGCGAGTGCGCGCGCGTGAGCGAGAGAGAGAGAGAGAGAGAGAGATACAGAGACAGAGAACGGAAAAAAATACTCGCGGTATGAAGCTGCATCCGCGCTACTGGCAGCTTTGACCTGCGATTGAACCGCCGTGGAAAACGGCAACGAAGAAATTTCCATGCCGCCCGCAAAACAATTTTTTTTTGTATCGCCCGATGTATGAATTTTAGAATTTCGGCGTTTCGCGCTTGCGAGTCGCGCTCGGTCACGAGGTGTCCCGAGGATTCACCACCAACTGGCGAGGCGGTGACGCACACGCGACACGATCATCACCGTCGCACCGAGCGCAAGAGTTAATCAGAGGTGCGCGTTTTTCCAGAAATTTTTAACGAAGTAAAAGCAATCGTCACGCGGAAGGGTTGGAAACAGCTGTAACCGGCAGACCGGAGGGTGAAAGCGCAGCCCCGCGATGCGGCGCGGCTCTTGAAAATGGAGCCGCGGAGAGCCGCCACGTAGGTAGCGTTTGCACCGGCTCACCCTTCCGCATACTTTTCGGACCTCGTGCAGCAACGAGATTAAACGGCCCTTCTGTGCACGACGGCGCGTTACTTACGCAACGTTATGTGCGCGCCGTCGAAGGGGAGAAAGAGCGGGAACGGGTGGGACAGAGAGAAAGGAAGAGAAAGAGAGGAGGAACGCGCAGACTGGAAACGAAGGGGCAGAGGAAGAGACAGGGACGCGAGTTACACGGAGAACGACAGTACGAGCTAGACGGAGCTCGACGAAAACACAGAAAGAGAACGGGAAAGAAAAAGAGAGAGAGAGAGAGAGAGAGAGAGAGAGAGAGAGAGAAAGAGAGAGAGGGAAGGAAAGAGAGAGAGAGAGAGAGAGAGAGAGAGAGAGAGAGAGAGAGAGAGAGCGAGATTTCGCGCACACACGCACACAGCGGCGGAGGGATCGTCTCCGCGCAAAACACAACGCGCGGGGCAAACAGAAACGCGCTCGAACGAAGGAGCTCGCTAAAATTAACGCGTTTCTCCTCTCCTCGATATTGCTTTCGCTTCTGACGCTTATCGAGCTTTCGCCGAAGCTATCTCTAAGTCTGAGCTAACTTCCGACAGAAATAGCTGGCTCTTCAGAAAATTCAAATCGACCGAGTGCACGCGCACGTTCTTTCAAACGGAGCCCCTTTCTTTCGCGCACAGCGAGGGTCAAAGGTCCGCGGGATCATCCGTTGGAGTTTAACAAATTCGTCGGATACCTATTGTAGGCACTTGAGCTTCCTCGGTGCATAGGATTTCACATTGTCACGCGGAGAGAGAGTCTCGTCTCTGAGCCTTCGATTTAAATTTTAACGAGAGCTCGTTTGACCAGCACCGCGAGAGAATCGACTTTTCTTCAAAGTAAGCGTGAACGTGTCTCTCAGACTTCGCTGACGAGCTCCAAATTTCTCGGAAAGACTTGAAGCTGTCCACCTATATACTATACAGGCCTACTATACAGGCTACGACGAGCGTTTCTCGCGGTAAAGTAATTAGCGGAGCGTTTGCATATTCTGATTCCACATCGAAGCGTCCGCCGTTCAACGCCGTTCCTTCGTGTTTTAGCCGCGTCGAAACGCGCGACCAGCAGGAAATCCTGATCATACCGGCACAATGTATCATCATCATCATCAAAGCATCCAATAACAGAGAAATACCGTACCATCCACTGGGCACGAGGCATGGAAGAAACAGAAGAGCGCCAGGGCGAGCAGGCTCGCCATGCCGCCTCCGTCGCGAACGTCCCTCATCTTCTCTGAGCTTCCGCGAGAGCCGGTGGTCCGCCGTGGTCACGTCGTGGAGTCGTTGCCGTGCGGGGCCCGCCGGCCTTGGCCACCACTGCCGTGGCCACCGCCGTCGTCGTCGTCGCCGCCGCCGCCGCCGCCGCCGCGGCTCAACGTCGACCTCGGCAGAGTCGCGAGCGAGTCGCGCGGGCGGCGGCGACGATGACCGCTGCCGCCGAGCGCGGTATCATCATCCAGCGAGCGCGGGGGTGACGGTGATGGTGATGACGCGAGTCACCCCGCCGATGAGACGACACTTGTCAGCGTGTTCGCCGTGCTGCTGCAGCTGCCGATGCCGCAGAGCCGCGGCTCTCACTCGCATAAGAGCGCTCGCGTGAGAGCACTCGTCACTTCCGAGAGAGCGAGAGCACGCTTCTTGCCCACCGCACGTAACGCATGCACGAACGCACGTAATGCACGCCGTCGCGACTCGTATGCGCTCGGTGCGTCGCCGTTGTTTTCCTGCGGCACACGCGCGAACGTAGCGGAACGCGCGCCGAACGAGCTCACACCGCTCCAGGTAAAAGCACGCCGCACGCCGCTCGCCGCTCGCCGCTCGCCGCTCGACGTCGAACCGATCGAACACAACACACTACTCGTGGGGTTGTCGCCCTGAGCAGCGGGGTTGAACAGAGCCCCGGCGCTGAAGCCGCCGCGGCCGGTGCGACGGCGGCGGGGGTGCTTGCGGACGCGCGCGGGCGATTCTTCAGATTCCGCACGTCGTCGCCGTCGTCGCGCGACGTCGTCTCCGTCGCGGAAGGCGCGCCGCCATTTTCCTACCGACCGCTACAGGCCCGGCCGATCGCCGTCCGTTTCGCCGACGAGGATCCACCAACACGCTCGGCGAACGGCTCGCGAGATACAGTGAGAACTCACTGTTGTTGGCCTACGAGAGGATACCACTGGTAGAGCCGTGCGTCAGCAGACTCCACCTTGCGAGCACGGCGCCTCGTCGCGCGACATCGTCCTCCTCCTCCTCCTCCTCCTCCTCCTCCTCCTCCTCGTCTCCGTCGTCGCCGTCGGCGTCGTTGCCGTCGTCGTCGTCGTTGTGCTTGTCGTCGGCGCTCCGCAACCTCGGCGCTACCTCGACACGCGGCTGTCACGCGACTCGCACCTTGGAACAACTTTTCACGCTGATCGTCGGCCAGCGACTCGTGTTGCTGCTACTGCCGCCGCTACTGTCGTTGCTTCCTCAGGCCGATAGCGCTTCGGAGCACGTCGCTGTGCAGGCTCTCTGCAGGCTCGTACGTAGGTGTTTCAGCACCACCGTTCACACGCTCGCCGCGAGCACGCTGTTTTCGCGTCGCGAAAGTTGAGGAAAGTGTTGAAGCAGCTGCAGTCATGAGTTTCGATGAGTGCAATCAGAGATGTTAGATGTTGAGGAGGAAATGATAGGAAAGAAGGTGACCTGTGTTTGTTTTCTTTCGATGCCTTTGATGCCCTACTTGTTTTTCTTCTAATGCCTCTTCAGCTGTACCTTTAAGGATCGATCGTGCGACACGAGAGACAAGTTGCTGGTTTCATAAGCTGAAATTTGGGATCTGGAGATTCTTAGTGCTCATTTTTTGAAGTATTTCTGCAGAATGTCGAAATGAAACCATTGCGATTGATATTTTTCTTTTGTCTTACCTTTTTCTTTTATATGTATAAATGTCAAATATGTAGTAGAGTTTGGCGAAAAATTGATACACTACTGCAAGGCAATTTGCGCATGCACCGTTTGTATTTTTGCTTCATTAGCGTCGAACTTGATATTTTTGGGTAACTCATTAGCATCAAAGTTACAAAATTCACAAAATATCACAATTTGGCTAGTCCACTTTGCATCGTGACTGAATGCCAAAGTTATTACGAAATAATGTACAAAATAAGAATGTTAGTTATTTTTAGTTTTCGGATGTTTCTCACATTGTTTGGGAGATATAAAGTATAAATTACAAATATATACATGTACTTGGTGGGGCTCTTTCTTCTTCTTTTTCTTAACAAGGATCTAGCCGGGTGTATCATCTCTTCACATCTTTCTTTGTACTCGTGTGACAGTTTGTTTAACAAATTTTACAATCTATATATGATGAGACAACAATCTCATCGTACGCATATCTTTTTATAAATATTTATTTATAAACTTTGATAGTATATGCTTATGAACTATATGTGTGTCATATTTATCATACAGTTAAATTTAATTTACTTATATGTAAGCATGTTTACGATTAAACGACGTCGTACAACTTTATAAAAACAGTAACTTTGCTGATTCCTGTGTTTTGCTGTATATTTACTAGCTATAAAAAAAATTTAATAATTTCAGATAATATACTATTATAGAATATTATAATACTATAATAGTGTTTATTACAAACAACGTATATTCGTAACATTAAGTAACATTAATTATTGCCCAACTTAAACTAAATAAACATTGCTTGAAACCAGCATCATATAATACTGCAGACAGTTCTAAGTTTTATTCAAAATACTTTTGACGATGACGAGCACATAAAACATGTAAAACATGTATTTTCTTTTGTAAGTATGATGATTGTAAAATCAATAAAAATTTACTGAATACAATTTAAGACTAGATATAGAGAAAAATATTCATGAAAAGAAGCTTTACAATTAACATGAATATAATCACAAACAGAAATTCGACTTCTTAACAATAATAAAATGAATGCCCTCTTATGATTATATGTATTTTTTTACATAAAATCTTTATAATTGTAGAATAATAAAATAGTATTTTGATACTGCTAAATATAAGAATGCCATTCAAATAATAAAAACAAGTGTAATTAAGGAGGCAAATACAAATGACAACGTTAGTGATGCTTAAACATTTTTATGCTAAAATAAAAAACGAAAAGTGCAAAATATAGACGAGAAAAGAGAAATGTAAAATATTTTTATGATACGAAAAATACAAAGTGTCCTATCTATTCGATCTATTTGTTTCTTTAAGCAGTCTAAAATAAGTATGATGCGTTGCCTAAAGTAACATAGTAACACAGGCGGATCGAGGCGAACACAGTCTTTCGTTTTACTGAAGGTATTTGCGAGATAATCAACATTTTTATTCTCCTGCATAAAATTATTATTCGCTACATTCTTGTGCGGCTCTTATTGGTCGAAATTAATATGAAATAATTTAATAGAAAACTAAAATAAAAAAACCCGTGAAAAATATTTTATTTATTAATGTGTAAAAGTAAAATTTACCTTCATCTTCTCTTCATTCGCTATTTTCAAAAAAGCCTGTGAACTTTTTTGTAACTATCCCGCTTTTCCCTACTTTTTCTAGATCCGTCTGTGCTTGCGTATTAATTATAGGAAATCGGTAAAAACTTACATGTAGCGTAAAATAACGTTGCGTGTAACTTCGTATCGTTTTTTTTTTTTACAATGCGCAGTCTGTATCGGTACGTTCATCATGAGACAAATGTGCTAATTTTAAAATAGTCCGATTTGATCTCTCTCACTCACTCCATTTCTCTCACACAAACGCACATTATTTCTCTCTGTTGTCTTAAAAATGCATCAATTCATTTAAATTAATTCGGCAAAATATTTGCAGTAAATCGCAGATATCATTAAATATATAATTAACATTATTTATCGAATTGGAAGTATTGCTTGTATAGATTGGTCCATTTCCTCTTAAATTTGCGTCTGGCTGCCCCACGCTCTCGAAATCGCAGATCTGGTGAGCCTCTTGCCGATGGTTTGCACGACGAAACCGATCTTCTGCAGTCGATCGTGGTTTAGGATCTTTCTACCGTCGAAGATATACGCTGGCTTCATCATTCCGGCATAAATCTGTATGTAATCCAGTTCCTGTAAATATCAATATATACGTTAGAATAATCGAACGTGGTTAAAATAATATTCCTACAAATGATCCGTAATCCAATATTTCGAGAAATCTGCGGTGAGAAATGTAATCATGTAAAATTTCAATTTCGTCAAATATACACATTCGTAGCTATTAAAACAAGCTATTCCAAATGATTAAATAAGCATTCGATGAAGTTATTAAATATTCTCAACTATACGTTTTCATCCAAGTGGAGAAAAGACTTTTGATTTCCTGCAAAATCTCGAGCGACCGCGAGCTCGATCCCATAGTCGTAATCAATCTGTCCGAACTTGCGGCACTCACGATAAATTCGTCCCATTCGGTGCACAACACGATCGCATGCGTGTTCTTCGTCGCGCTATAAGCGTCCTTGTAAATACTGATTCTGCTTTTTACGTGTTCGGGATTGCTCGTCACACTCGGATGAGTCAAATCTTCGATGATCTGTGCCTCCTCGACCTACGGATTAGAAAGGCGTACAAGAAGCGCAGTGTGCTTTCATCGGCAAGTGCTCATTATTAAAGCGCCAACGTAGCGTGTAAAAAAACCCGCCTCATTTTACGCGAGTAAGGGAAGGGCTTGAAACCGGTCGACCTCTCGGGTATTCAATTAACTTTCAGTCGCCTTAAACTGATTGAATCTTTAACATTTTCCGCAAAAATCTTATCGCGCCATTCGACTCAAGGCCGCTAGCGCAAAAAGTACAGACGGTTTCCTCGAATTGGGTGTGATCGTTTTTTCGAATGTGTAATTCCGCTGGAGATGCGTGTACGCAGTTTGTTTGCTGCGCATTCTCTTTCAATCGTGACTTCCGCGGTGAATTTCGAGTTAGCTTTACTTCGGCGAGAATTTAGAATTACGCGTCGTAATTTATTGATTGCAGCGTTACTTACTGCATGAAATTTGCTTGATAAAACCACAGAAGCATAATCAGATCGAGAGATATTGTCTCTCCTTCGTCTTTGAAATGTAGTTGTACAGTAGATTTAACAAGATACTTAACAGTGGATTCAAAATCCCAATTCGCGATGAATTCCAATGAAGTTTTTAGGACAGAGTCGCCAGCGAAAACCCGCCGTGGAACTCATCATTAAAGAACGCGCGGAACATCTGGGACGTCTTGTACATACGAAGGAGGAGAAAGAGCCTGACCTTGGGGTCGTAAATGTGAAGTACGGCGCCTTCGTCCAGCAGCGTCTTGGCGACGTGAATCGCCGGTGATTCACGCGTGTCTCCTGTATTTTTCTTGAAGGCGAAGCCCAGCATTGCGATCCTTTTGTCAGTCACGGTGTTAAAGAGAGATTCGATAACCTTCGCGGAAAATCGCGACTTCTGATACTCGTTCATATCGATCACCTGTTGCCAATAAGCCGCCACCTCGGGCAGATTTAGGCACTCGCAAATGTACACCAGATTCAGAATGTCCTTTTGGAAGCAGGAACCGCCGAAGCCGATCGACGCGTGCAGGAACTTCGAACCGATTCGCGAATCGAGCCCGACCGCTCGTGCGACCTCGGACACGTCAGCGCCCGTGGCTTCGCATACCGCTGACAGGGAATTTATGCTGGATATTCGTTGCGCCAGGAAAGCATTCGCCGCCTAAAATCAAAGAGAAATGATGGAGAATGAATATTCATTCGTTTGAATATTCACGTTTGATATTCGCCAGCTTGACTTACGATTTTTCGAGACGACATCTTCTGGCATTTATCTATTCTTATATCGATACGTTGCAATTTGCTTGCAAATTCGCGCAAATTCTATTTATGATAAAATAAAGATAATCGTCGGATACGAGGCGAATGAACGCTCACCAGCTTCGACAGTTCCGAGCTCCACGTGTTGGTGGTCAAGATATTCTCCCTCGGGATCCAATGCTCGTAAACCTTGCAGAGCTCCTCGATGGCCGCCTGACCTTCCGGCGAGTCTTCTCCGCCGATCAGCACTCGATCTGCGTGCACCAGGTCTTCTATGGCGGTGCCTTCGGCGAGAAATTCGGGGTTCGAGAGGATCTGAAAAGCGTTCAAAGCCAGATTAACGAAGACGACTACTCCGGGAGACGCGGGAGAGACGCTCGAGAAAAGCAAGCGCAAGAGACAAATCGACGCGTAACGCGCCGTACCAAGGTTGGCACCTGAGCAGGTGACAGGTCACGAACAATCACGCGGAGGAATGAAGCAAAAGCGAGCGGCGTGTTACTTTGGGCGGCCGGCGTCGCGTCGGCTCGTGCGAGAGATAGAGAAATCGCAAGCGATCGTTGCCGATGATTCGACAATTGACTGATAGCGAGCACGACAAAGGCGCAGAGTAGTAAAACTTTGCGTGCACGTGCGAGATACGATCGAGTGCTCCGTTTTCGGAGCGGCGGGCGGTACTTCACCTGCTTTTGGCGCAATATCATGTTGCAGCGCAGCGGGGAGTACTCAATGGGTATTCAATAAACAGCGCATATAAATATAGCCAATTGCGGTACTGCGGCAATTGCGTGTGTACAATACGCGAGTGGACGGTACATCGCAATTAATACCGTCTGAATGAAAGTCGTAGCGTTTCGTACGGAGAAACTTTACCTGCGGGCGGGACTACACGTCGTAATCGGCGAACAGTCAGCGTGTTTCACAATTACGATCGTAGTGCGATTAACGATGACGATGACGATGATGTGTGTGCGAGATACGCCTGATGGGATTTACGTGTATATCCGCATCGGACGACGAGCAAACAAGCGCGCGTAGAACGACCCCGCTTCGTCTGTTTGAATTGTGCGATTGCGACATCGCGATCGGCGATTTTACCTGATAGGAGACGCCTGGCTTGTGATTAGCGCGCAGGATATTCATAATACTCTCGGCCGCCCTTACTGGCACCGTGCTCTTCTCCACGACGATCTTGTCGCCGGTCGCGATCTCCGCGATCATCCTGGCTGCGCTCTCCACGTACTTGAGATCCGCGGCCCTACCCTTGCCGTTGCCGAAGGTCTTCGTCGGCGTGTTCACCGAGATGAATATCAGGTCGGCCTCCATGATCGCCGTGTCGATGTCCGTAGAAAAGAACAGATTCTTGCCCCGGCACTTTTGCACTACCTCATCCAAACCCGGCTCGTAGATGGGCAGCTTCTGCGAGTTCCATTGCGCTATCCTCTCCTTACTCTTGTCCACCACTGTCACCTGAATCTCTGGGCACTTGAGGGCGATGACGCTGCACGTGGGTCCACCCACATAACCGGCCCCGATGCCGCAGATCTTACGGATCCTTGTCATCTCGATCGACTGTAACATTGATCGACGGGTCGTCGCATTAGTGAGAGTTTATTATTTCACACTAAGTCGAGCACTTGTGATATGCACATGACTGCATTTGGAAAGCAAATTCAAACGATTCATGTCGTGCTCGTACGAAGGAAAAAATATTTATGCAAAAATGCGAACAACAGGTCAACACGATCTGAAAACAGCTTTTATCGTGCTTTTGGCGTGCCAAGTAACGAGCTGTGATGAGCGATATCGCTTGTCAAATGCATAAGCCAGAATGTAAAATATTTAATACGATATATTTATTAAATCTAATACATTCACCTAATCTAGATTAACAGAAACGACGAGCAAATAGAAGTTAAGAGCAAGCAAAGCAACACGATTCTCAGCGTTACACCAAATTTTCGTTGCTTCGAACTTCTGCGTATCGTCCAGCAAAACAATTATTTTAATGGATCGGTTATCTCACAGCTCGGCAAAATGTGCACTCGACAGCCAATTCTCGACCATCTCTCACCGCTATTCCCTTTACCTCGCCGCTTCGCGTGCTGCCTACAAGCCGCTCGAGTCTCAGGAGCGTGTTTCCAATAGTTTTCCACGTTACCCATGAAGTACTATTGTTGACGCGTTTTTTTTTTAAGTGGTATCCCCAGTAAGCCTAATCCACTGATGACTGTAACAACCCGTAACTAATTGAACAGAAGCGAAATAAAATATGTTAAATGGAGAATATTCAATTCGATTTTCGTCTTTTATTGATAAGAGTGGAAACGTCAATTTGGATATTGCATGTAGCGAGCCGCATAAGACGTGATAAGGAATCGTCGCTTAAAGAAGAACACTTCTCATTTTTTATAAATCATTTCTTCATTTTTGAAAAATGAAGAGGCCTACTGGAGATACCACTTAAAAAAAACGCGTCAACAATAGTACCTCATGGGTGACGTGAAAACTATTGGAAACACGCTCCTGAGGCTCGAGCGGCTTGTAATCAGCGCGCGGAGCGGCGAGGTAAAGGGAATAGCAGATGGTTGAAAATTGGCCGTCGCGTGCACATTTTGTCAAGCTCTGGGTTATCTTACAAGTTATGATAGGTCTGTTTTTTATCGACGAACTAGTGTTCACTCAACTAGTGTTCACTCAGGGAACATAAAGAGAAATAGATATACATTTAGGAGTTAATGAAAAGGAGAAAAAAAGAGAACAAGTGTAAGTTAGTACAGCCAGTTCAGCAATAGAAAACAAACCCCTTGTAACAAAACCTTTATCAAATATCGAGAACACTGACTTATACTTTAAAGCTTGATTAAAACGACCTTGTAGATAATAACAGAGATAGGGAAAGCTAATACATATATATATATATATATATGTATATTGTTGATACAATGTATATTTATTCTAGAGCCGGGCACGTTGAGTAATTTCTGTTAAATGTCTTCTTGTCGAACACGTCATCAGATTAAAAATCAGACGAAAACGTCCACGAAATTGGAATAAATTTTTCTTTTCCGACGAGATCTATCACACCAACCGAGCAACGACCCCGGAGGAGACACAGACTCGTCTGTCTCTCTTCCACGAGCAGTTATTCGTATCTCTCCGTCGCTTAAATTACTCCAATATCAGAAAACACAGGCTGCCCGCGATATCAACACGCCGGAACAACGCGGCTGGATTGATAAAAATATATCTACCGGCTTTTTGACAGAACACGTCAACGATACTCCGAACGCACTCTATCCGCCCACGCTCGTCTCGTCGTCTGGTGTCTTGGAAGTGTCCTTCACGCAGAATATTACACGTGGAATTCGCCGTTGCCAAAATTATTGCGCTCTCTGATTATTCTCCGGGCAAATGTAATGACACGATCAGTGTCAAGAGGTGAATTTTAGAGACGAAGTCTCGTTTGTGGGATATTTCGGAGCACAATGCTTCGCTCGAGAGCGAATGCGAGGGAAAAAGAACTGTGCACAGGTACCGGGTTTTCCGTTGTTCCTTTACCTGCTGTTGTTGGTGCACTTGCTGCTGTTCTTGGTCCACTGAAGGGGCAGCGGTTTCTCACAGGTAGTCAGCAGTGCTGCGATGTGAAGGCGAACGCTGTGAGACGACGAATAGCGGCCGATCGAGCGAGGAACGATGCGGAAGAACACGTGGGCTTTCCACGGTGTAGGAACGAAAATCGGGGCGCTCTGTTCATAACAAGAGGCCACAGTGCGCTACGATGCCGAGCCGCATTGCAAATTCTGCCTGCCGCACTAAACGTTACACTTTCGTCATTTCGCGAGACTGTGCGAAATGGAAAAGCCGAGGCCGCATTGTCCCGACTCCATGTTGCCACGTCGAGATCTTCTACAGCGCGTGCGTAAATAATTGGCAACGTCGCGTAACGTATTTTTTAAGTCATTCATTGGTCTGTTCTTTGTAGCTGCACTGTTGAACTGGTGCAATAAGTTAAAATGAGACAAATATAGGTTTTCTCACTCTAGCTTATTGCACCAGTTCAGCAGTGCAGCTACGAAGAACAGACCACATGATGATCATTCATTGGGGCGCGCGCTCAATAACGAGGAAAAGGGCGAGTCACGCGACCTAAGGGTCGAAATTGAGCGCGACGTGTGTGAGAAAAATCGCGCACTTTGATGTGCGTCATGCTTTTGCGTATATATATTTCTTCCTGTTTCCGGTAGTTGATGACGTAGAAAGAGTATAGTTAGATTCACTCGATTTAACGCGTTTCAGCGCGAGCGGTAGAAAAATTTTGGTATCACTTTTCATGACGGTTTTCGAAGTATGGAAACAGATTTGTGGTTGATTTCACGGGTGTAAAGTTTTCTTTTTTCATCGCAACGCAGTGTCTTGATGCCTTTTTATTTTACGTAGTAACGGACAACTGATAAAAGTGAAACATGGAATATTTTTAGCTCAGTTGCTTGGAATGAAATATAGTACGCGTATTATATCGGGGAGCGTATCGAGGTGCATCTATCGCGTTAAATTATAGTGACCTTTCAACAGCGCGTAATGCAGGAAGTCGTTAAAGTCTATTATCCTTGATCGAGCGGATATAAATAATAATTCGATATATAATACTTAAATAAAGGGTGATATTTTCTGGTTCGTGGGCGCAAACAGCGATTTAACTTTCAATTTCTTATTTAATTTGCATCAACTTTCAATTTAGCATTAAATGAGAGAAATGAGAGAGAGGGAAAGGACGAAAATATGGAAACCACGAGATATCGTCCGTTTTTTTTTTATATACATTTATTTTTATTCCAGCTATACTCATTCAGCAAGTATTAAACGCAACAATAGGCTCATCAATCAATAACGTATGATGTAGATAATTCGCGGGTAATCACTGTTTCACGGATGATGGCTCATGATGATTCTTTCATTGAATTATTCATTAACATGAGAGAATCATACGAAATAAATTGGCCATTACGTCGATATTTGTACATATTCAAGTTGTCACGTTTTCTATTCTAAACTGATGAAAGGAAAACAATATGCGTTGCAATCAAGACATCAAGAATGTATTTCTGAAATTTCGACGAAAGCTTCATCAATCGTAACGTTTCATGCACAATCAATCGCGTCATAATTTTAACGCTCGTATTCGCGGAAAGACTTCACGATAAAGATGCGAAAACGCAACGTGATGCTGTCCCAACCTTCAATTTTGACTCCCACTGTCAAGGTTTGTCCAATGTCCCTGTAAATTAACATATTCGTGCTTCGTTAACAGATATCCCGAACACGAGGGTGTATCTTTCCCTGAAAACGAGATCCTCACTGCGTTTTTTTCAAAAAAAGCAATAGGAACAATTATATCATTTTACTAATTCAGCAATTTGAAGATCTATCACGTGACTCGGTCGGCGAGAGTCGGCGAGAGACTCACAGTGTCCGCGTGAGATGTCAGCACCAAGCTGTCGGGAGATCTCGCGAGCGTGGCTTCAGCGACCTCTCGTCGCAAGCGTGACCCGTCAGCTGATGCTCCGGCGCGTTGTTTTTAGCCGACTAGGGGCCCCGGATATCGGTGTGTGTACGTGCCGCGTGGGAGTGGAGGGGGATGGAGTTACGAACAACGGGACTCGTCGTCGGCTGTCGGATAGCGCGACGAAATCAGCGGCGTCGTTTAACATACGCACGACACTTGAACGCTACCTGAAGCTCGTGCCATCGGCTCAGGTGATCCGGTAAACACGTGCTTTCTCAGCGAGTCCCGTTTGTTTTCCTGCAGCCCGCGGCCTGTGACGCTCGCAGCACGTCGTTCCTCGCAGTGCACGAAATGACCGTCCGGCGTATCTTCGCACGTTTTCGCAGTTTAGATTAATCCACGCCTTGGCCGAGTATCATCGACGAATATATGATGAATAACGTGACAGTGAGTAGACTTTGATCCCGCATCGCGCCTGATATCCATGAATGCCACAGGCGTGATTCGTTCCTTTTCGACCCCGCCATCAATGTCTATGTAATGTCAATACAAGCTCAATCATCGTGATATGTATTGGACATTTTTGCATACTCTGTGTACTGTATAAATAATTTATATCGGAAATTGGATGTGAGCACTGTATACGAATATATGCTTGGTAATGTGTTTAATAACATGTGATTAATAACGTTAAAACAGGTTGTATTAGAAGCAATGCAACTTTCCGGGGTTTTCCTTTTATTCAAATTTCTTTTATTGCAAAAATCATTCCTTAACTTTCCAATATTTAAAGTTTTCCAACTTGATTTCGAAGTTGGATTCGTTTCTAATCTTTCGTGAGTATTCCAATTTACTTCTTTAGGGAAGGAGATATTTGAAACAGTTTCAGGGATGTCTCTTTTTCTAAAGAAGTCAACTGAAATGTCCGCGAAACACCAAAAGGAAATTTATGAAGGACGTGGCGTTAATCTGGAAACCAGTCGAGTAAAACTTTATCGGAAAGAATATAGATTTTTGCATTTATAACGATTAAAAGAATTTTTGTTTTTTTCTTAGTAAATGTGTATTCTTAGTGTTTTGCATTCCTCTTTTAATATTTTATACATTATTGAGTCACTCAAAAAGTTTAGTATGATTTTTTACCTTCTTTGATGATAAACTAATTCTTATAATATAGCTATATCAATATTGCAGAGATAAATAAATTTATCTGGTTATTCAATGCTTTATAGCCAAAAGATGTTTATATTGTATCTTATATCTTATTATATCTTATATTATATTTTATATTTCATATCTTCTTTCAGATGACTTAATAAGGTCAAAAAAGATAGCTTTTTTTCTGAATTATTTAGAATTTGAACTAAAAAATTGCCATAATTTTCAAAAGATTCAACATAAACAGAAAATCAGCTTTATTGACACTCCTTTGTTTCAATTGAATATAAAGCGATAAAATTAAATTTAGTTTCAAATCTAAACGGAATTTTTTGACTGACTTAATATATTTATATAAATATTTTTATAGTTTATATAATCTATTTTATTTTGTATCTTCAGAGTATAATACATGCAATATATCGGGGGTTTGTGGACAGCTTAAAAGGTGCTGTTGTCCTCTTTTATATGGATAAACAGATCAATGAGAAATTGGTCAGAAAATCCCTTATCACAGCAGATTTTCGGAAGAGAGATTCAGTTACGCACAGTCCTTCCAAACACAGTAGTCAACAACGGTATTTTTATCATTGCCTCATCTCTACAAACAATAGATACAATCTTCTTATGATAGTAGAAACAATTAATCTGTTTTATTTCAGAGAGTCTAAAGTACTGAAAAGGACCATTCAATGCTGTGCTCTAAATGGAGGTGTATTTTGGGCTAGCATGTTGATATTTGATTATGGACTCCTGCCGTTTCTTCAGTACTTATTGACTCTTATATTCGGCCATTCCTCAGGCACTGCGCTCACTGTGTGGTCATGGACCCAGCCATTTTTATCTCTTACATTTGGTACTGTGTGGGTATTACCATTGTTCTTACTCAGCAGGATAGTTAACAGCTTATGGTTTCAGGTATGATTTTTCAGAAAATATAAAACATTTTTTTTCATTATTTATACAAAATTGGTTTTCATCAACACACAAGTGTATGCCTGTGTATAACATACATGTGTAGTATATATATGGTATATTTATAAATTCATGTAGGACATAGCAGACAGCGCTTATAGATACAGACAAGGGAGGCCGATGCTTCTGTCAAGCGTGAGCAAACTGATAGCCGACACGCTTTTCAGCATATTAGTTCAAGCTTTATTCTTGGGACAAGGAATGTTGGTATCCAAGATTCCTCTACCTTTGCTAGGCGAACTTCTTGCCCTTGTCCACATGTGCCTTTTATATGCTCTCTATGCCTTTGAATACAAGTGGTTCAATATGGGCTGGGAGTTGCACAGGCGATTGACTTTTATTGAAGGCAATTGGCCATATTTTGTAGGCTTTGGTCTGCCATTAGCAGTACTTACCCAACTGCCCAGTTCGTACTTTACAAGGTATGAAGTAATTTTCTCGAATGCTGTTTTCTTGAGACTTAAACAACTTAATATCTCTCTTCCACGTTTAATCTTGAGTTTTAAATAAGGATTTAGAATTTTTTAAATCATGATTCACGCAGATTTGATTTTCTTTTATTTTAAATAAATTGAGGAACACTAAATCCAATAAAATAATGATCTTTTCAACATTTATTATGAGACAAATTTAATAGCTTAGTTTATTAAATTAGCAGTGTTAATAATTAAAATATAATTTAAGATACATTATTTTCAGTGGCTGTGTTTTTTCTATATTGTTTCCCCTCTTTATTGTAAGTGGGAATGAAGCGGAGCCCGTAATTGGAGTGTGGTATGTTTCTAAATTATATGATATTTGATATATATTTAACTTCCTATTATCTATTTATTAATACGATACAAATAACGATTTCAGTGATTATCCATTGAAATTATTTTCGCCAGTAATTGCAATGGCAAACACACTTTTTAACAGAACTATCGGACGAGCGCACAGGCGGTGACAACCTTAATGTAATAAAAAGACAAATAATGTACGTAGTTATCTTTACTTTTCATAATATGTTCGAAATAATTGTTACATAAAAGATAGCATTCGGAAAGTTTTTGCATATATATTGCTATTGCAGGGGATAACTCTTTTATTGCTAAAAACAAACTTAAGTTTTGTGAGGAGTATGCAAAAAAATGTGTTTATTTTTTCATATTAAATGAGACTAAAATAACACAAATTTTATATTTTTAATCGATATTTAGATCATAAAGGAAATACGCTGTCATATTTTAATTGATACATGGGGACTGATTGATACAAATATCTGTTTATCTATAAAATAGAATATGTACAAAAAGCATTATATAAACATCGTAAGCATCGCATTTTAAAGTATATCATTCATTTATGGTATACTTTAAAATGACGTAACTCAACATGGAACAAAATTTATGATAATTTAAGTATAACTATACATACAACTTTGTCCATTGTGACACAAATTAAAATTATTGAATAACTTTTATCACAATTCACATGTTTTAAGCTTTTTACGCTGTAGCTAGTCATTTTTCAATATCGAATTTGTGATCTCCGATCAGCGCTGTGTTATATAGACGTGTATTACAAACATATATTATAAAAAGAATACACTACGCGACAAGTAAGATATCCAGTCCACTTATAATATAATCTTATGATATAAAGTAGTACTGAAATAATTATTCCAAATATTAAGACAATTCTAAATAGTACGGTGCTCTGTATACATGACTATTTTATATTTTTGTTTTTATCATATTAAGATTAAATAAGGTGATTTAATTAAAAAACAAAAAAAAAAGAAAACTATATATTATGCATAGACGCCGACAGACATTTTGGTCAATCGAATCTGTTGATATTGATATATATTGTGCCATACATATCATTCATATATTGTTCATAGGATTCATTCGAAAAAATGAAATTAAGACAAACGAAAAATTGTCGTGAACATAACGATAAAATACTAATGCTAATAATGTATAATAAGAACATTTCAATTTATATAATATTGCTAGGCAGCTAATATTTACTACTTTTGTCATGAAATCAATCATTTTATACATTATGGCTTAAATAAATATTACATAAATATTGAAAAAAAATATTCTGTTTGTATCAACGATTTAAGAATTAAGAAATCATTAACAACACACTGGACGTTTTGATTTGAGATATTAGTTTCATCTACTTTTAACGACAAAATAAATCATCGGTATTAATCAATCGGTATGAATTAATCATCGGTATTAATATTCACGATCACGCGAGAAGATCTTGCAACGCTAGCAGATCGTGGTCCGAAGGTTCTTCTTTCGTTCTATAAGAATTCAACGCATAATGTCTATGTAATGCCGCAAAACCTAATCCTGGATCAGTTTCCACTTCCGTTATTGGACTTGCAGCTCGATCGATCATTTGATTTTTGCTTACCTGTAAAATATAATTACATAATGATGATAATTCCGATAATTTAGAGACACGATTATTTTCACAGTATCGATTTAAAATGATTAGTGCATTTCCAGAATTTGCATATACTGTATACATACTTCAAAACGTTGCTGTTTATATATGGCCAATTTACGTGTTCCTGGAGAACTTTGTATCAAATTCTGTATGGTAGGATGAGAAATCCCAAAGAAATCAGCACCTTTTGGTATTATTGAGCGAAGTGCCAGAGAAATTGCTGCCAACAATTTCAAGTGACATTCGTCAGGGCTGGATCCCACTAATGGTTGATCTAAGTCGTTATCGGATACTATTTCGAATCTGTAAGCAATAAAATAGTGCCTCATTTCTTCTGAAGATTATTACTGTTCCTATTTATTGCTATAATCCATTACCTAGGTTTTGGACCACCATCTAGTATTTTACAAGTATATAAACTCTTGGTTCGCGGATCTCGTAAGTTAGCATACACTCTGGTACTACAGTAGCCTACTGGAAAGATGAGATCCTCTGTGTGATATGTAATTCTATCTGATACCACTTCACCAAGAGAATATATCGTAAGGTCTCCTAAAGCTATGGGAAATATTGGCCTTCCGTGCACATCTAGTGGAATCAATTGTACTACTCTTCTGGCAGTTTTGTTGTATCTTTTTGTCTTGCTTTTTGTCTCTACAAGAGAAGAGATAAGTTGTATAAAATTCTTATAAGAGAGGAGACATGTTCTAACATATTTGTTAACAGTAATAAACATGCTTTATCATGTAAATTGCACATTTTTTAAATATGCTGACATTAGCAATATTGCAATATATAGCAAGAAGATAGAAAATATATCATATTAGCATGCTATCTTTATAATCAGCTGACAATATGTCAGAAAGATATACCTGAACCATCTATGGAGGTTCTTTTCTTGACTGTCTTCTTAGATGTAACACATTCTGGATTAAATGATGGTGAATTAACATTTGATTGTGAACGAGCTATCATAGAGCTAGATTCCATTTCTCCATGTTGTTGACATAACTTGCGTAAAAGGAACAGTCTCTCTTCTTTGACAACCATCAAATTCTCTTGCATGTGTGCTACTTGATCACACAGTGCTGCATTCTCCTACATTAGAAATCAAATTATATGTGATGTTATATGAATAAAAAGCGAAATACATGTTTGCAGGTAGCTTACGAATACAGTATTCTTCACGATTCTCTTGAGTTTCCGGTACTTCTTCTTGTACTTCAAATTTTGCTGTAATTCAGCATTCTTGTGATAATCATTATAATAGTTGTCATATGCCTGAGCCATATCACACTTGTAAAATTAACAAAGTACTGGTCAAAATTTCACATCACCGACCACATACCGTAAAGCAGAGCTGGGGACGATCCGCACATTTCGGGCGAATTCAAGAGATGACACTCACCGTCTCCCTGCCCATAGTTGCTAGATGCAATATATTGCGACGCTACAGCGCATGCGTGACATGACGTAAGCTCTACGAAAGCATATGCCAATGATGGCAATAAAGCGCATCGCAGGGTCCATGGAGAGGCCCGCGCTATCCTATCAGCTGTCTTCCCGCGTAGTTTTCCCGCGTTTCTTGCGCGAGTGCTTTGGAGTGCCTCATCTCAGTGTATTGTGTAGTAGATACTAAAGCCAGCGGCACACGGTGCTTATTTCGTGCTGGATTGCTTGCTGGATGAAAATACTGCGTTCTGATTGGTGCATTTCCATCCATCTTCGGAAATGTACCAATCACAACGCAATATTTTCATCCAGCAAGCAATCCAGCACGAAAACAAGCACCGTGTGCCGCTGGCTTTAGTAACAGTTACGTTACATTAACATTATAATTTCTCACTCAACTATGTAACTGTTACATAATATTTGTATTATGTAACAATGACATTGTTAAGTGAAAAATTGTAATGTTAATATAATGTAATTGTTACTTAGTGTTTAATACGTTTTAACATAAGCCCAGTGATAGTGTGATAGTAGTGATAAATAAAAGTGCAGTGTATAGTTTATTTACCATAAAATATGGATGAACAACAGCCTTCAACATCAAGTGGCATCGACAAGAAGAGGAGGAAAAGCGCTACATTTGAAAAAGCATGGTTAAATATGAATATTTTTAAATACTGGCTAAAACCACACGTAGATATAGAAAAAGCTTTCTGCTCGATTTGTCGCACAGTATTAGCATGCGGCAAGCAAAATTTAGTAGCATATTCTCAAACAGAGAAACATATTTGGAATATGAAGACTCGTAATGTCAGTCCATCTGTTCCATTAACTGTGACAGAAAGTACATCAGAGGATCATGCTATTAAAGTAAAAATAGCCGAGATAAAATTAGCTGCATTTTATGCGACTCATAATATAGCTTTGAACATAGTTAACGACATGATCCCTCTTTTAAAAGATATTTTCAATGATTCAAAAATAGTCAGAGATCTGAAACTGAAACGAAAAAAATGTACGCAAATTATTAAAAATATTAATGGCATTAATATGTATTTATAAGAATATTTTGTATTTCATATTTGTTGCAAGAATACTAGTAAGGTTTTTCTGCAGTTTCCCTTGCTTTTACAACGAATGTTGGTATTCATGTAATTGCTTGCAGTTATTAAAAAATAAAATAATATGCTTATTATTAATTATAAACATTATTTTGTCTTTTTACAAAACCTTTATTTTCTCCCTATAATTCTTACATTTTTTATTTCAGATAAGGGATCTTACGCTCATATTAGACTATAGATTAAGAATTACTATCAGATTAATTAAAGTAACCACGATTTAGATTATCTAATTTACTCAATTGCAATTCTCAATGCATAATATAATACGGGCGCTATAATACCTTAAAAAAGATACGATAGTGAGACTTTTACTCAAGCAGCGAGCCTACGTCATCTCACGCATGCGCTGTAGCGTCGCAATATATTGCATCTAGCAACTATGCCCCTGCCACTGCTCCGCGCTCAGCGGCTGAGGCGACGATCGCGATGCATTCAGGTCCGTCGCTGTATAAGAAATCAACTGGAGCGCACCGCGTCATATTATCATTAGAATTTTTTCCTTGTTTAATAATCACTTTAAAATATATATGTTTATGCGTTATTTATATATACAGGGTGTTATAAAAGTCCCGGAAGAGCAGAATAACTCGAAATATATGAGTCCTAAAAAAAATGCGAAGTACTGGGTTTTTATGATTTTTCCCTGGCTATCTGACGGTGACCTTGGATTTGACCTTGACAATGACATTGAAGGTCATTTCAAGATCAGGTCAATTTTTAAAAATAGGACCTCATACTTATGACCCCAGAAATGAAAAGAGCGGAAAATTTTACGTTCGGATATGACCTTGAACACTGCCAAATTTGACCTCTGAAAGTCACATAAAGGTCTAAGCTTGTTTTAGGCTGAAAACGCAAATATCTTCGAAAATGCACCTGCTAGGGAGCAATGTTACGCATAAGAATAAGAATGTAGAGGTCAACGAGGGACATTCAGCCGTGACCTTGCCCTTATTCTCAATGTCATGAGTTAAGATTATTATTAAGGTCAAACCGGACTTTTTTGGGACTGAAAATCCATACTTTTGGCCTAAAAGTGTCAAGATGGAAAAATTTTACGTTCGGATATGTCGGCGCACTAGCGACGACGAGGAGGGTGCCGACGGTGGTGGTCCGTGGACGGTCGCCACCCCAAGGTCCGCGCGGCGAAGGGCACGCCGCGCGCGCGTAAGCTCGTCGGATGAAGAGGCCACGAGCACGGCTTCCCGGGCGGCACTCGGGCCGCCGCCTCTCACGGAGGCGAATTTTCCCCCGCTCGCGGGGGCGGGCGCGGCGCGAGGAGAAGGGACTCCGCCGGTTCGGAGGGTGGAGGGGACACGCGCGCGAAATGCTGGCGAGGGAAACGCCACAGACGGGTCCGGTCCACGTGGAGTCCGCGGCGTGATGGGTCGGCGGAGAGCACCCGCGTCCGTCGACGCGCGTCCGGATGCGTTTCGGGCGACTGCGGCTCTGGGTTCCCGCGCGGGTGGCGGCGCGACGCGACTCGCTAGGGCGCCGCGGGACCCGGCGATGGCGGCGCGCGGTCCTCGAGACGCGCGGGATGCCGCTCCGGACGTCGAGAGACGGACGGGGCGTCAGCTCGCTGTCGAGAGGACGCGGCTCGTCGACGCGGCGGATTCCGTGGCGACGCTCGCCGAGCTCGAGGATCTGGCGATTCAGGTCGCCGGATTCTTCGGGGGAGGCGGGCCAGGGCATGGCGCGCGGCGCGCTCGTCGACCGCCGCCACGCCGGTTGCGTGAGGCCGACGAGGAGCGGCGAGGGGAGAGGGACGCGCGAGAGGGTGGTCGTCAGGGGGAATTGGCACCGGCCAATGTCCCCGATTTTTTCGGAGAAGACGGCCGGAACAGGACTCGTGAAGCAGCGCGAATACAGGCGCTCTTCAGGAGGAACCGACACAGGGCAGTTCGAGAAGTGTTGGCCGGTCCCGCGGAGGTCTGCGATTTGCCAACCGACGTGGTACAGGCGCACTTCGAAGAGCTGTATCGCGGAGGGGACGACCTGCGGGGCGCCGAGCCTGCGGAGCGAGCCGATGTCCCGGGCGAGGACGGCGGTGCGGCGGCGCTGATGGAGCCGTTCACGGAGCGAGAGGTGTGTCGTCAGCTCCGGCATATGAATAACTCTGCGCCGGGTTCAGACGGCATAACCTACAAGGACCTCCGTGCAGCGGATCCATCGGCGCGGTTGCTCGTCGCCCTCTTCAACGCATGTTTGCGGCTCGAGGCGGTTCCTGCCGTTTGGAAGACCTCCAACACAGTCATGGTGTACAAAAAAGGAGATCGCGGTAATATAAATAACTGGCGCCCTCTCGCGTTGGGGGATACCCTGCCCAAACTTTTCGCCGCCGTGTTGGCCGATCGTATCACCGAGTGGTGCGTGGTCAGCGGGAAGCTCAGTCCGGCTCAGAAGGGATTCCTAAGGGGCGAGGGGTGCTTTGAGCACAACTTCGTCCTGCAGGAGATCCTGACTGATGCCCGGAGGAGTTGCAGGGAGGTGGTAGTCGCGTAGCTAGACCTTTCCAACGCGTTTGGATCGGTTCCCCACGGGGCGATCCGCCGCGCACTGGTTCGCGCGGGCGCGCCAGCGGGCCTCATCGCCGTATGGGGCTCGCTGTACGATGGTTGCACCACACGGGTGCGAACCGCTGATGGCTTCACAGCGCCCATCCATATTCGCTCGGGCGTACGCCAGGGATGCCCGCTGAGTCCAATCGTGTTCGACCTCGCGATCGACTCCGTGCTGCGTGCGGTCACGGCTGTCGGTCTTGGGGTCGAGCTCTTGGACTCGCGGTGGTCAGTAATGGCCTATGCAGATGACCTGGTACTGGTCTCCAGGACGCCCGACGAAATGGAACGATTGCTCGCAGTCGCGGTGAACGAGGCATCGTCGGTCGGGTTGCGGTTCAACCCTGCCAAATGCGCCACCCTGCACATCGGTGCAGGCGGAGCGGGCAGGGTCCGACCGACGACCCTCCAGATCCAGGGCCAACCGGTCCGTGCAATGGCCGAGGGCGAGGCCTATGAGCACCTCGGCATACCGACGGGCTTAGGGGTCAACCAGACTCGCTGCCATTGGGATGCTACGTGACGACTTGGCGTCGGTTGACCGTTCCCTCCTCGCCCCGTGGCAGAAGACTGAGGCCGTGGCGACCTTTTTGTTGCCGCAGCTCGACTTTTTGCTGCGGGGAGCCGCAGTAGAGAAGGGCCCCCTCAAGGAGCTCGATCTGCAGATCCGCAGATCTTGTAAGATGTGGCTCAACCTCCCACAGAGAGCGAGCGCCGAAGTGGTCTACATGCCCCCTCGCAAGGGGGGATGTGGGCTACTTCCTTTAGCTGACCTCGCCGACCTGCGCTGATCCTCTCGATCGTGCACGTCTTCCGTCTTTTGACGGCGGATGACCGCGCGGTCAGGGACCGAGCCTGGGCGTCTCTGCGGGGAGTGGTTGCACGCCGCATCGGCCACCCCCCTGGTTGCGACCAGATCGCCGCCTTTCTCTCGGGGTCGCTCAAGGGGAGGTTGAGGGGGGGAGGGGAGCACTCCCTGTGGTCGAGGGCGCGGAACGCCGCGCGTCATCAGTCGGATCGCTGCACCATCCGGTGGCTGTGGAGCGAGGAACGCCGCGAGCTCGTCCTTCAATGTCGCGATCCACGGGGCAGGATCACCAAGATCCCACCTGGGGCTCGTGCCCAGGTGATCGGACGCCTGCGTGCTGCGGTGGCGGAGTGATATGATACCACCTTGTCGCGGAAACCAGACCAGGGGAAGGTGTTCGAGGTGTCGTCTCGTCATCGAGTGAGCAATCACTTCATGCGGGGCGGCAGCTTCACCCGCTTCGCTGATTGGCGTTTCATCCACCGTGCTCGTCTCGACGTGTTGC